AGAAAGGATATAGCAGAGCTGAAGGAACTGAAGAAGTCAATTAAGGAACTTAAAGATGCAATAGAAAGTATCAAAAACATATTAGACCATGCAGAAGAAAGAATTTCAGAGGTAGAGGACAAAACTCTTGAGATATCTCGGATACTTAAAGAGGCAGAAAAGAAGAGAGAGAAAGCAGAATGTTCACTATAGAATTGTGGGACTACATGAAGCATTCAAACATACACCAAATGAGTTATAGGTATCCCAGAAGGGGAAGAAGAATGCCCCAGGGGAATAGAGCCATACTTGAGAATATTATAAATGAAAATTTCCCAAATATTACCAAAGATTCTGACACACTCCTTTCAGAGGGATATTGGACCCCAGGTCGCCTCAACTCTAACCGAGCCTCTCCAAGACACATTGTGATGAACTTGTCCAAAGTCAAGACAAAAGAAAAGATTCTTCAAGCTGCCAGGAGTAAGTGCCAGTTGACCTACAGGGGCAAATCCATCAGGGTGACTGCAGACTTCTCTAATGAAATTTTCCAAGCCACAAGACAATGGTCATCTACCTTTAATCTACTTAAACAGAACAATTTTCAGCCTAGAATTCTATATCCTGCTAAGCTAAGCTTTATAATTGACAGAGAAATCAAATCATTTACTGATATACAAACATTGAGGAAATTCACCACAACAAGACCAGCTCTACAGGAAATACTTCAACCCATTCTATACACTGACCATCACAATGGATCAATAGCAAAGTAAGAACTCAGAAATTAAAGGACAGAACCTAACTTTCACAGTGATGCAAAAGATAAAACTAAGCAATGGACTCTCACAAAATAAGATGAATAGAACACTACTACACTTATCAGTTATCTCAATAAATGTCAATGGCTTTAATTCCCCACTGAAGAGGCATAGATTGGCTGACTGGATTAAAAAACACAAACCATCCATTTGCTGTCTGCAGGAAACACATGTAGCTTCAAAAGACAAATTAAAACTCCGAGTTAAAGGTTGGAAGACAATTTTTCAGGCAAATGGAATTTAGAAGAAAAGAGGAGTTGCAATTTTATTTTCAGATACATGTGGACTTAAAGCAACTAAAGTCAAAAAAGACAAAGACAGTTACTTTATATTGGTCAAGGGAAAAATACAATAAGAAGACATTTCAATTCTAAATATTTATGCACCCAATTTAAATGCTCCCAGATTCTTGAAACAGACATTATTCAGTCTGAGCAATATGATATCCTATAATACCATAATAACAGGAGACTTTAATACTCCTCTTACAAAGGTGGACAGATCCTCTAAACAGAAACTAAACAAAGATATAAGGGACTTAAATGAGACCCTAGAGCAACTATGATTGATAGACATATATAGAGCACTCCATCCCAAAGATAAAGAATATACATTCTTCTCATCCCCCTACAGAACATTCTCCAAAATTGATCATATCCTAGGACACAACACAAACCTCAACAGAATCAAAAGAATTGAAATTTTACCTTGTATCTTCTCAGACCACAAGGCACTAAAGGTGGAACTCAACTCCAACAAAAATGTTCAACCCCAACAAAGGCATGGAAATTAAACAACTTTCTGTTGAATGACAGTTGGGTGCAGGAAGAAATAAAAGAGGAAATCATTAACTTCCTTGAGCATAACAACAATGAAGACATAAGCTACCAAAATCTGTAGGATACTGCAAAAGCAGTTTTGAGAGGAAAATTTATAGCTTTAGATGCCTACATTTGAAAAACAGAAAGAGTGCATCAACAAACTCATAAGCCATCTTATGGAATTAGAAAAAGAAGAACAATCTAAGCCTAAACCCAGCAGAAGAAAAG